CGACCTTCCATTTCCATTCTGAACCCAGGGATCCGGCTCTTTCTAGAAAAAACCTCCTTTGAAATGCGGGGAAAACGGCCTGTTTCTTGAAAAGAACGATGGTTGAAAAGGATGGGGAATCAACCCCTAGAACTTTGCTGCAAGTGAGAACTGTTTGATCCCCACATGGCGATAAAATGTAAGACAGCCAGTGCAAGACAGCCAGTGGATAGACCACAAACTATGTGTTTGCTGGTCAAAACCGAAACTCAAGGAAACCCCAACATCAGGCAACATCCGGTTCAAAATGGCCTTTACCCGGTGAGAATCCAGGCAGATACCCAGAGTCCATGAGTTGAATTCTTTTGACGGATCCCACGGAACTCCATAAGCTGGATTGAGGTAAGACGCCATCTTGCCAAGGAGCCTCATGGCACTCAGCTCCCGCGGATGAACTTGGACCCAAAGGGCTTAAGCCTTCTTGGCAGACACAACCATCTTATGCTCAGCTAACAAGGTCGCCTAAGTGTGATTCCTACCTATTATACTTGGGGATACTTAGGGAACTTCTGCACTGAAGCTGTTAACTACTTGGGGCGGTCATTCCCGTAACTGGAAAGGCCGGACGTGCCCACCATCTCCGCCTCCCACTCTACGTCCCCGGTCTCTCCCTGGATAGGGACGCAGGCCCAGTCCTGCAAGTCTTCGCAGAACTCGCAGAAATCGGGCGTCACGGAGTGTCATGCATATCACCCATGAATCCGAAAAATATGGCTGTGGCGAATTCAAAAAACCGGAATTCCAACATGGCTTGGTCTGGGAAGTGAAAAACATGGACCAAACCCTGCGGTTTGTCCCTCCTGCTTGATTTTGAGCCACACCCATAATATGAAGACCAGTCGCATAGGATTCTGTCGCCCTTCGGCTTGAAGGTATGTCAACCATCGGAACTTTGCATGGCTTCCTTTAGGTTTCACGACGTGCACTCTGGGTGAGTCGTATATTTTCTGGTGCTCAGTCGGAATGATGCAGAGTTTTGGGAATGAATTTGGAAAGCGATTCCGTTAAAGGAAGCCATAGAGGACGTTTCACAGAGGACGTCTGCCATTCCATTTCTCATTCCCTGCCTCTCGAACCAGCAAGTATAATTTTCCGTCACCAATCGCCTTTCCAGGGGGTGGCAAGGCAGGTAGGTTGTTGAGTCTTAACATGTCGAGGTATGAGCTCTCGGTTGCTTTCTGCTCCCCCTGCTAAAAGTTTAGCTTTTAGTGGTTTAATGAAAACCTATTAGTTGGCAACAAGTTAAAGTCCTAACATCCAAGCAAATTGCACCAAAGAGCTTCAAAGGGCCAAACAAGCATCCCAGAACATCCTCTTACAAATCCACTCGTTCTCCAGGACATAAGGCTTGCAGTCAAGAAGTAGCTCACCTTCCTTGCTGGCTTGGATGGTTTGGGGGTTTGCACACTTGAGCCGTGCCAAATACTCTTGTGTAAAAAGCGGTCCTATAAACTTGCTTTCGCGGACCCTTTCGCGATGCTTTCGCGACCCCATGTTTTGCTTTCGCGGGCTTTGGTTTATTCAGAATTGCTTTCGCGACGCTTTCGCGGCGGAGCGTCACACAGCATGCAGGCTTTCGCGGGTCTTTCGCGACGGGACTTTCTTTGGTTACTTTCGCGATAAGCTTTCGCAAGCTTTCGCGGCCTGCGTTTTGGCTTTCGCGGGGATTCTATAGGACACCCCCCTTTACTACTTTGTATTGTCAGGGTTTCTGGCGCTGCTCACTTGGCTTTGGAGGAATGGACAACCCGGGAAAACCTGCAAACCACCGGCTCCAAACCAGAGAAGCCGCGTAGCTGTGTCACATGCGCCGGGAGTTGCTCTAGTCACAGCTAGTTTTTCCTCGATTCGACGCAAACGAAGTTCGGTCCGCCGAATCCAGCCAGATCATGCCGTAGTAGATGCCAGCTTGGGCGTCTTCCTCAGCGAGCGGGCGCCAAAAAGCTCCCCGTGCGAGAAACAAGAGAGAAAGAAACAAGCTGGACCCTCACTCGCTTGAAAGCAAACAATGCAGAATGAAGATGAATGAATACAGGCACAGCGTGAAGCCGAGCCTGTCGATCGTTTCTCGCCTTTTGACTGGCCAAAGGCGAAAGTTCCAACGTTGGCTGAGAGGGCACGCGTTGATGGGAGAAACCCGGCTTTGGGGTGAAGGGTGCGACGCGGCACATGAAAAATCATCCGCACAGATCCGCAAAGAGGATGATCTTCCCAAGCCAACAACCTATCATCACAGAGATACACTTGGAACCTCTGGCTCGAATCAAACATTGCTATCATGCGTTTGCCAGCAGGGACAATCAATCGATATGGTTTCCCCGCCTGGGACAATTGGCATCTTGCCAGGATGTTGAAACATTTTAGATATGCAACGTGGTACGCACTGGCAATCAACCACTGCCCAAATCTGGCCGCGATGTGCAAAACGATGCCGGACGAAGGGAGCAAGCGTTGAAGGTCTTCTTCAAAACTCAGTACATGCTAGCTCCATGTCTGTGATGCAATGTTCTTCGTTCCCCATTCCAGCCTGTCCCTGGCACCTACGCCATATTTCATGCTGAGAATTCTGCAATGCGGGATCGCTTCGCTTGACAGCCAACATGGATCTAAGGGTGAGAAGGTAGGCCAATCAGATCCAAGTCTTTGAGGATCCCACCTTATCTTTTGAGGGATCTAAGAGTGGTCGCGGGACATATTTTTCTGTGATAATGCGTTTGATTCCCATCCCCATATGACTGCCTTGTCACCTTCAAAGAAATTCCAAATTCCAAGGTATTACAGAAACCGGGAACCGCAAACGAACAGGTGTCCACCATCCTTGGATCCAAGTAACTAGATTTCAGCTGGTGCCTTTGATGCCCATCATGGGCTTTCCCTTTGAGTGGATGGAGACTCTCATTTTCCTGACGATACCAAGGTGAAAGCTTGGGTCGCGTCAAACAACAAGAACCTGGAATCCGAGGGGCCCTTCCTGAAAGCTGCCCCCAACTACCCCAGACCATGAGCCCAAAAGGTAACACTGAGGTCAACAAAAACAGGTTCGGACTTGGAACTGCAAAACGACCCCCGCAACCGAAACCGGGATGGGAAACTAGCACTATTTTTTGGCAGTGCTTTCTTTTTCTTTCTCGAACCCCTCTGAAAACTGCATTTGGTCCGCCTACTTTCTCGAGGGCACCCAAGTCTTCACTCTGGCGGTTCAGGGTTTGGGAACACCACACCGAACAAACAAAATGCGGGGGCTCCCCAACCTCTTTCATTTGGACCAAATTGTCCTTCCCAAACCCAAAACGTCTCTAAAGCCCAGAGCCCGAAACGGAACTCGGGATGTGCCGAGTCCGTCAACGGCTGGACTGGACTGGCCCCGGGGCGTGGGACTTGCTTCGTTTTAGGTGTTCGTCGCCTGTTTGTCCAAGGCGCGTGGTGCAGGTCCAAGGGCTGCAGAGCCTTGGTGGCGCTGATGCTCTGCAGCAGCGCCTCGGAAACCGTCGAGGTACCGAGAGGCGCGCGAGTCGGGGCGCGCGAGTCGAGGCGCGCGAGTCGAGGCGCGCGAGCCAAGCGGTCGTGAACATTGGTCTACTTGTGCGTCAAAGCCGTCGGAACTATGAAGAGGTGGTGTTCTTTAGCAGGTGAGCCGCTGAAAGATGCTCGTTTAGTGGAGGCTGTCCGAATATCCACAGGTATTGGATTCTACTTGGGTGATTGTTGCCAAATAAGTAGCTGTTAAGGTGGTAACCCGCTAAGCTCTGGGGCATTGAGTGGTGGTTTTCCTTGGTTACCTATGTTTGTAAGAAATGGTCACAAGCAGTGGATGATGCAAGTGAAGTGGCTGCATACATTGCCCAAAGCAGAAGCCCAGGTCAACACATTCCCTAAGTGGGTTGTTAAACACTGAGTGGGGTAATCATCCATCTGAATCTGGTTTGTTGCCCTGCTTCCTTGGACTTCGCGAGGGATATGTACACTGGATTTCACACCTAGGTCCTCCAGATTTGAGAGCTTAGAATAAGTTGGTACCAACTTGTTTTTCTCGTTTTTGTATATTTTAGTAGGGGAACCGAATCTCCCTCTCCCAACCAAAGGGGAGAGAAAGGGCACCAATTGCTGGGCCGTTCCGAACACGGAGCCCTCAAAGTGGGATCGATGTCGATCGAAGGCTTCCGCCGACACCACTTGAAACCAAGGCCTTGCCGTACCGCTTGAAAGCAATGAGGTTGTGACGCAAGTGCCCAAGTAAAGCTGGCCAAGCAAATCAGTACCCCCCCCCCCCCCGATAGATTCCGTTGTCCAAGCAGACACCAATTTTCGGATTTTCAGATCTACCTCCATGTTACCCATATTCCCCAAGTACAAAGCACCACCACTAGTGCTTGGCATTACATCGATCTACCGTGTCTCAAAAGAAACGGCGCGTGTATTTCACCCACATCGCCTTCCAGAAGTTTTGCACGTCGGCGATCCGGAGCTTGCCCGTATCGATGATGACCTGCACTAGTGACTAGATGGACTCCCTTTGAACAAAACAACTATCCACCACGGTCCAATGAGCTTTAAACATCCACATGTCCTGCGCAGTTGGAAGGCTTTACGTAGGCTTACCATCCCCTTCCTCTCAGAATTAGACGCCCCCTAAGCCGAGCTGGGCGCTTTTGCGCCGCCTTGACGGAGCGACGGAGCCTCCTGGTGGGCTCCGATTCTAGCGTTCTCTGCCTACAGGACTCCTGCCTTGGTAGGCGAAAGCTCAAACTCAATGACGTTGACCCTCAGTGAGTCGGCAGCTAAGACGACATCTCTTCTGCCATGCACACTAAGTGAAAGTGCCAAAGTGCTGCTAAAAGATCCGAAAATCCGAAAATCTGCGTTGCAAGGGTTGCTGCTCTGCAGTCCTTCTTGCATGCCGCAGCTAGGCCCAAGCTGAGAAGGAAGGCATGATTGGCAGAGAAACTATCCCAAGAATCAAATTATAGCGATACGCCGGTCGGCAGATCGCATCGCGCCTCCCTTCCCGTGGACAGCATCGCCCTGTGAACCAAACAATTGAGCCGTTCTAACCCCTGGATTTGAAGCCCCGCATGTAGTGCGGCACATTGCCGGTGTTGGCCGGGTACGCGGACTGCGACACCTCTGCACCACAATGCTGGCTCAGAAATGTCAGTTTGAAACAACTGCAAACATTTGCCGGTGTTCACAAAGCAACCAGTGCATCTTGAAAACAAACAAATCAGGAAGAACGCTGAGCGGGACACGATTGAAATAACAATCGCATGACCTGTTGCCCCAAACCAAAAACAAACATGTGGATGAAAGAGCAAGTTGCAAAGAGTGGTCAACGCACAGTGGCCTAATCGCCTCCCAACCCCGCTCTTGAGCCGAGGGTCCTGGGGCCTCTGCGCAGGAGTCGGCTTGGTGTCGCCGGTGCGGCGCACGGTGCGGTTTGCTTGTGCTGCAGCGGCTGCGGAGGATTTTGGCACTGCCGGCTCTGCCGGTGCGCCCGCAGTCCGGCGTCGTGTGCCAGTACCCTCCCAGGCAGGCATCGGCTCTCCTGGCGGGAAGAAACTGGGAAGACAGCTGAAAACCGACGTCTCAACAGGCTCAAAAGGAGACGGGGCAACAAGCGACAAGCTGACGGCAAGCTGAACGTGCCTTTCTGCAAGCGCTGGATACGGCGAGTCTTGCCGGTGGTGAGGTTCGTCTGGACTCCCTTGTCGTCACTGTCAAAGTGGACCTCGAAGTCATAGCGACCCATGCTGTACCGCATGACATCGTCGGTGCCGCCGAGGTAGGGGGCATCCTGCGGCAGCCACACGTCCCAGCCCTTCTCCAACTCGATAACCCACTGGAAGTCGCCCTCGTAGGTCTTCTTCACCGAAGTGCCCACTACCGCGCAGGTCGGCAAGTTGCTGTCGACCTTGGTGGCGCGAGCCTTAGGCTCTGCCGGTGCGGGTTTCCGCTCCGCTGGCCGGCTGGCGGATTTGGCCGGCTGCTGCTGTTGCCGTGACTCTCTGAACTCCCAGGCAGGCATCGGCTCGCCCCGCTGCAGGCGCTGGATGCGACGAGACTTGCCAGTGGTCACATTGGTCTGGAGGCCGTGGGTCTCATCTTCAAAGGTCACCTCGAAGTCGTAGCGACCCATGCTGTAGCGCATCGGCTCATCAGTGCCGCCCAGGTAGGGCTCGTTGTTGGGCATCCATGCACTCCATCCCTTCTCCAGCTCGATGACCCACTGGAAGTCGCCGTCGTAGGACTTGGTTGGTGTGGCCATCACACAGCAGGTGGGCAAGTTGCTGTCGATCTTGGTGGCGTTCAACTTGGGAGCCTCCGTTCTCTGCGGCTTGGTCTCGACAGGTTTTGAGATGACCTGCTGCTGTTGCCGCGACTCTCTGAACTCCCACGCAGGCATCGGCTCGCCCCGCTGCAGGCGCTGGATGCGACGAGACTTGCCCGTGGTGAGGTTGGTCTGGAGGCCGTGGGTCTCATCTTCGAAGGTCACCTCGAACTCGTAGCGGCCCATGGCATAGCGCACAGTCTGGTCGGAGCCACCGAGGTAGGGCTCATTATTGGGCATCCACGCGCTCCATCCCTTCTCCAGCTCGATGACCCACTGGAAGTCGCCGTCGTAGGACTTGGCCCCGTTGGCTGACATGTAGTAGCAAGTGGGCAGGTTGCTGGCAGCCTTGGTCGCATTCTGCTGCGGCAGGTCAGGCACCTACCAAGTCGGAACAAACGGCTAGCTACAGTTGCAGCTAGCCGCATTCGCTCTGAATGGCTTTGCAAAACGGCAACACCTCGCCATATCTGAAACGCCCGATACTGCTTGCACATGCTCGCAGTCAGGATATCCCATGAGTACACTGAAACACAAAGCAACATGAATTCAAGAAAATGAGACTGATAACTCCATCTAAACTCAATGCCTTCGGATCTGTTTAGTAAACTGCATATTTTGCAGCAACAACCAAAGAACCCTGCCTTAAAGGACCGTGTTTCCACCTCCGCTGCGAAATGCACTTGGTGCGCATCCGATTCAATCTGCGCTGGCTCCATGGGAGTCTGAGAAATGCTCTATGCGAGCAAGCTTGGGCCAGGATGTGTCTTTCAAACCCCCGATTTGCTTCGCAGCTCGGCGATGTGCAGCGTAGCATGACTTGCACGGACTTGCAAACTTCGTCGTGCGGCAAATTTGCGATTTTCTTCTTGAGTTTGATGGAGCCTCCTGGTGGGCTCCGATTCTAGCGTTCTCTGCCTACAGGACTCCTGCCTTGGTAGGCGAAAGCTCAAACTCAATGACGTTGACCCTCAGTGTGTCGGCAGCTAAGACGATATCTCTTCTGCCATGCACACCATGTGAGAGTGCTAACGTGCTGCTAAAAGATCCGAAAATCCGAAAATCTGCGTTGCAAGGGTTGCTGCTCTGCAGTCCTTCTTGCATGCCGCAGCTAGGCCCAAGCTGAGAAGGAAGGCATGATTGGCAGAGAAACTATCCCAAGAATCAAATTATAGCGATACGCCGGTCGGCAGATCGCATCGCGCCTCCCTTCCCGTGGACAGCATCGCCCCGTGAACCAAACAAGTGGAGCCGTTCTAACTCCTGGATTTGAAGCCCCGCATGTAGTGCGGCACATTGCCGGTGTTGGCCGGGTACGCGGATTGCGACACCTCTGCATCAGAATGCTCGTTCAGACACGTCTTGACTGGCTGGCGTGCGTGTGTCTTGCAACAGGGGCCCCGCCCAAAAAACAAGGGTGGGTTTCCCTTCCTTTTGGTTTCCCTTTGAAATCAAAGGGAAGAATCGGCTACCAACCCAGTTTTCTGCTCGAACCAATCGAACAAGAACGCTGGGTAGGTAAGAACACAGGGTTCGCAGCTATCACCAAATACAGCAATCCTGCTGCGGTTTGGAACATGCAAGAGTCGGTCGCCAACAATCCACTAGCATCGAGTCTCACCGGCAACCACAAGTGTCAAGGTGAAGGCCTACGCACCGGAAACACATTTCCAACACACGTCACTGCAAGCAACTGTACTTTCACCTAACAAGCCGAACTAGAAGAACAAAGTGACCAAAAAGCCTTAAATCCCCCAATGGTCTCGCCTCCCCTTGCCTCTGTCTCCACTCTCACTCCCAACCCCGCTCTTGGTCCGAGGGTCCTGTGGCCTCTGCGCAGGAGTCGGCTTGGTGTCGCCGGTGCGGCGCACGGTGCGGTTTGCTTGTGCTGCAGCGGCTGAGGAGGATTTCGGCACTGCCGGCTCTGCCGGTGCGCCCGCAGTGCGGCGTCGCGTGCCAGTACCCTCCCAGGCAGGCATCGGCTCTCCTGGCGGGAAGAAACTGGAAAGACAGCTGAAAACCGACGTCTCAACAGGCTCAAAAGGAGACGGGCAACAAGCGTCAAGCTGACGGCAAGCTGAACGTGCCTTTCTGCAAGCGCTGGATACGGCGAGTCTTGCCAGTGGTGAGGTTCGTCTGGACTCCCTTGTCGTCACTGTCAAAGTGGACCTCGAAGTCATAGCGGCCCATGCTGTACCGCATGACATCGTCGGTGCCGCCGAGGTAGGGGGCATCCTGCGGCAGCCACACGTCCCAGCCCTTCTCCAACTCGATAACCCACTGGAAGTCGCCCTCGTAGGTCTTCTTCACCGAAGTGCCCACTACCGCGCAGGTCGGCAAGTTGCTGTCGACCTTGGTGGCGCGAGCCTTAGGCTCTGCCGGTGCGGGTTTCCGCTCCGCTGGCCGGCTGGCGGATTTGGCCGGCTGCTGCTGTTGCCGTGACTCTCTGAACTCCCAGGCAGGCATCGGCTCGCCCCGCTGCAGGCGCTGGATGCGACGAGACTTGCCAGTGGTCACATTGGTCTGGAGGCCGTGGGTCTCATCTTCAAAGGTCACCTCGAAGTCGTAGCGACCCATGCTGTAGCGCATCGGCTCATCAGTGCCGCCCAGGTAGGGCTCGTTGTTGGGCATCCATGCACTCCATCCCTTCTCCAGCTCGATGACCCATTGGAAGTCGCCGTCGTAGGACTTGGTTGGTGTGGCCATCACACAGCAGGTGGGCAAGTTGCTGTCGATCTTGGTGGCGTTCAACTTGGGAGCCTCCGTTCTCTGCGGCTTGGTCTCGACAGGTTTTGAGATGACCTGCTGCTGTTGCCGCGACTCTCTGAACTCCCAGGCAGGCATCGGCTCGCCCCGCTGCAGGCGCTGGATGCGACGAGACTTGCCCGTGGTGAGGTTGGTCTGGAGGCCGTGGGTCTCATCTTCGAAGGTCACCTCGAACTCGTAGCGGCCCATGGCATATCGCACAGTCTGGTCGGAGCCACCGAGGTAGGGCTCATTATTGGGCATCCACGCGCTCCATCCCTTCTCCAGCTCGATGACCCACTGGAAGTCGCCGTCGTAGGACTTGGCCCCGTTGGCTGACATGTAGTAGCAAGTGGGCAGGTTGCTGGCAGCCTTGGTCGCATTCTGCTGCGGCAGGTCAGGCACCTACCAAGTCGGAACAAACGGCTACAGTTGCAGCTAGCCGCATTCGCTCTGAATGGCTTTGCAAAACGGCAACACGTTGCCATATCTGAAACGCCCGATATTGCTTGCACATGCTCGCAGTCAGGATATCCCATGAGTACACATTCAAGAAAATGAGACCGATAACTCCATTTAAACTCAATGCCTTCGGATCTGTTTAGTAAACTGCATATTTTGCAGCAAAAACCAATTAACCCTGCCTTAAAGGACCGTGTTTCCACCTCCGCTGCGAAATGCACTTGGTGCGCATCCGATTCCATCTGCGCTGGCTCCATGGGAGTCTGAGAAATGCTCTATGCGAGCAAGCTTGGGCCAGGATGTGTCTTTCAAACCCCCGATTTCCTTCACAGCTTGGCAATGTGCAGCGTAGCATGACTTGAACGGACTTGCAAACTTCGTCGTGCGGAAACTTTGCCATTTTCTTCTTGAGTTTGATGGAGCCTCCTGGTGGGCTCCGATTCTAGCGTTCTCTGCCTACAGGACTCCTGCCTTGGTAGGCGAAAGCTCAAACTCAATGACGTTGACCCTCAGTGTGTCGGCAGCTAAGACGACATCTCTTCTGCCATGCACACTAAGTGAAAGTGCCAAAGTGCTGCTAAAAGATTCGACAATCTGAAAATCTGCGTTGCAAGGGTTGCTGCTCTGCAGTCCTTCTTGCATGCCGCAGCTAGGCCCAAGCTGAGAAGGAAGGCATGATTGGCAGAGAAACTATCCCAAGAATCAAATCATAGCGATACGCCGGTCGGCAGATCGCATCGTGCCTCCCTTCCCGTGGACAGCATCGCCCTGTGAACCAAACAATTGAGCCGTTCTAACCCCTGGATTTGAAGCCCCGCATGTAGTGCGGCACATTGCCGGTGTTGGCCGGGTACGCGGACTGCGACACCTCTGCACCACAATGCTGGCTCAGAAATGTCAGTTTGAAACAACTGCAAACATTTGCCGGTGTTCACAAAGCAACCAGTGCATCTTGAAAACAAACAAATCAGGAAGAACGCTGAGCGGGACACGATTGAAATAACAATCGCATGACCTGTTGCCCCAAACCAAAAACAAACATGTGGATGAAAGAGCAAGTTGCAAAGAGTGGTCAACGCACAGTGGCCTAATCGCCTCCCAACCCCGCTCTTGAGCCGAGAGTCCTGGGGCCTCTGCGCAGGAGTCGGCTTGGTGTCGCCGGTGCGGCGCACGGTGCGGTTTGCTTGTGCTGCAGCGGCTGCGGAGGATTTCGGCACTGCCGGCTCTGCCGGTGCGCCCGCAGTCCGGCGTCGCGTGCCAGTACCCTCCCAGGCAGGCATCGGCTCTCCTGGCGGCAAGAAACTGGGAAGACAGCTGAAAACCGACGTCTCAACAGGCTCAAACGGAGACGGGGCAACAAGCGATGTACGGCGCAAGCTGAACGTGCCTTTCTGCAAGCGCTGGACACGGCGAGTCTTGCCGGTGGTGAGGTTCGTCTGGACTCCCTTGTCGTCACTGTCAAAGTGGACCTCGAAGTCATAGCGGCCCATGCTGTACCGCATGACTTCGTCGGTGCCGCCGAGGTAGGGGGCATCCTGCGGCAGCCACGTGTCCCAGCCCTTCTCCAACTCGATAACCCACTGGAAGTCGCCCTCGTAGGTCTTCTTCACCGAAGTGCCCACTACCGCGCAGGTCGGCAAGTTGCTGTCGACCTTGGTGGCGCGAGCCTTAGGCTCTGCCGGTGCGGGTTTCCGCTCCGCTGGCCGGCTGGCGGATTTGGCCGGCTGCTGCTGTTGCCGCGACTCTCTGAACTCCCAGGCAGGCATCGGCTCGCCCCGCTGCAGGCGCTGGATGCGACGAGACTTGCCAGTGGTCACATTGGTCTGGAGGCCGTGGGTCTCATCTTCAAAGGTCACCTCGAAGTCGTAGCGACCCATGCTGTAGCGCATCGGCTCATCAGTGCCGCCCAGGTAGGGCTCGTTGTTGGGCATCCATGAACTCCATCCCTTCTCCAGCTCGATGACCCACTGGAAGTCGCCGTCGTAGGACTTGGTTGGTGTGGCCATCACGCAGCAGGTGGGCAAGTTGCTGTCGATCTTGGTGGCGTTCAACTTGGGAGCCTCCGTTCTCTGCGGCTTGGTCTCGACAGGTTTTGAGATGACCTGCTGCTGTTGCCGCGACTCTCTGAACTCCCAGGCAGGCATCGGCTCGCCCCGCTGCAGGCGCTGGATGCGACGAGACTTGCCCGTGGTGAGGTTGGTCTGGAGGCCGTGGGTCTCATCTTCGAAGGTCACCTCGAACTCGTAGCGGCCCATGGCATAGCGCACAGTCTGGTCTGAGCCACCGAGGTAGGGCTCGTTGTTGGGCATCCACGCGCTCCATCCCTTCTCCAGCTCGATGACCCACTGGAAGTCGCCGTCGTAGGACTTGGCCCCGTTGGCTGACATGTAGTAGCAAGTGGGCAGGTTGCTGGCAGCCTTGGTCGCATTCTGCTGCGGCAGGTCAGGCACCTACCAAGTCGGAAGAAACGGCTAGTTGGCAAAAGCACTCTGAACGGGCATCTGCACAAACTGCTTTGGTCTGAAGTGAGCACTGCCAAGACCGGGGTCCGGGGCAACACATGAGAGAGGAAAGCTGGGATCGAAACCACCTGAGGTCTGTTAACCCCCTTTCCATTGTGATAGTTTTGGCCCTCAAATGATAGCCCAGCTGCCCCATACAGGCTCTAACTTGGGGTGCCTTTTTTGAACCAAGAGGACACCCTCCATTTTGGGCAGTCCATATTCACTTTGAAGACCAAACACGTACACTTTGGTCTTCCTCTGTCAATTGCTCGGAGGACAGATTCAATGCCACGTATCTTAGCTTCTCTGCTATCCCAGACCTCTTTCAGCAGCTTGGCGTGTTTAAGGAAAACCAACCAACAATGCACGCCCATTGGGGAAGAACATTGCGTATGGGGGGGTCGATCAAAAGGTCCTTTACATGGAATGATCATTGGGGACAATCACTAAAAAGATGGTATTTCATGGGAAAAGTTCCCTGCAGTCAAAACTGGGGGCCTTTCAGAAAATATTGATCGACCCTCAGATTCCCCTGGCCATGGAAAAAAAAGGATCGGCATCCTTTGTTCGTTGGTTAAGTTTCAAGGAGTCGGAACCCTTCCCCGAAACAAAGTGGAAAAAAGGGGCGGACTCCACTGGGATATTGATCAACCCAAAGGAGAGGGGACAATCATGTAAGACTACAAAGGCAACCGGTGAATCCACGGTGCAAACGTGCAAACCCCTGTGGTTTTCCGACCAACCCCCATATCTTCGACAAACCCCTGCTTTTTCCGGGCGACGACATGGCCTTGAAGGAGGTGGTCTCAACCTCGGCCATCTGCTCCATGGCTCGAAACGGATCAGTCTTGGGCAAAGGCGATCTGCGAAAGGCGAAATGCCGAAGAAAGCGTGCCGGGAGGTGGGTTTTTGTTGGAGTTCCCCTGGGGTTTTTGGTTCTCCCTGGGGTTTTTGGAGTTCCCCCTGGGATTGTTGGAGTTCTCCCTGGGGTTTTTTGAGTTATGCTTGGGAACTTGGAGATCTATATATATATATATGTATATCCCTGGGACTTCAACCAGACCCGAGATCAAACTATACATGAACCACCCAAAGAAACCGGATGTTCCCCCATTTGGAAACAAACCCATACCGGACAATCCGCAAAGGGCCCTCGAGACAACAGAAAGGCAAGAGTTTCCGTTTTGCTTGGGGTTCACAACATATATTGTGTACACAAATATATGTACGGATCTGTACAGATACACATACATAACAATATTGTATACATATATATATATATATGATTATATGATGTAACACCGGACAAACACAGCTCAAACTCGCGCAATCTGGGTCCTCGGGGGGCGGGACCAAAAGTTCTATGTTGTGTTGCAACATCCGTCATTTTGGGCACATGGCAGTGGGTCTGCGGATGGAACCCTTTCCGCGGATTTGCCTTCGTGTGGGAGGCGTGGATGATGCGGCAGCCGTTTCGCTTCACGGCATCGATGAAAAGCTTCAGCACGCGGTCCATGTACTGATGCACCTCATGGATCTGACCCCACAAAGTGGCAACCTTTTGCTGCTAGGGGGAAATCGAAGGCAACCTTGAAGAGGGAAAAAGGGAAAAACTGCTGTACACCTCAGGGTGCCGAGCCCGCCCCTCCCCCCCAAAAAAAGTGTGGTTCCTGTATAGTGGAGCAAAAACCTCACCCGGTTGTTTGGGGGAAACCCCTGCAACACAAGCAGAAAGGGGCGCCACCAAAGTCTGGGGATTGGGTGCATTCAGGTCTCATCCCGACACAATCGAGGCCGATCGCAACAGCAATGGAGAACCCCCCGCTCCTTTTTCCCATTTTCAAAACCCGCCCGGCAAGAAGTGGTTTTCAAGAGGGCCGGATGTTCCCTTCGCAGTCTTGGCTTCCCAGCACGCCGCAGCAACGCAGCGTCGTAGAGCAGGGAGGTGGGAGAGGCCAACCTGATTTGCAAAAGCCATGTGGGCGTGACTTTTTGATTCGGGGCCTCTTGGTGGACAGCATGGTGGGCAGCCCACCTCCTGCTCTTGAGCAGGGTCCCTTTCATTTTGGGGGGATCCCTTGGCCGAAGGCAAGCTGAAGGAAACCCAAAGGGCAACAAACAGCAAAGGATCGATACTTGTGGAAATGAGAGTTCTTTGTGTAGGGCCGTGTCATGGTTAAACACAGGGGAACAACAACAGTCTCATCAACGCCACGGCTGTAGTGCGATACGGGTATGCATATCTACATAATTACACGTCTGCTACCCCCTTCCCAACACTTGTCAAACTTGCAGTGTCTCACTGTTTTGAGATGTCCCAGGAATCTTGCTTCAGAATCTATTATTAAATCTGGAAGCTTGAGAGGCGTGAAAGCCACGTTGAAGTAAAATGGAGTTCAATACTTTTCAGGCATCTTGCCCCAGCATCTTGAATCTTGAAGCTCATCCACTTGTAGAAAACGATTAGCAGCTCCAGCTCAAAACAACGGACATTGTCAGCACAAGAGTGGTATTGTGTTGTTTGTTTGATTGTTTGTTTGTTTGTTTGTTCTTTTCTGCTTCGTTGGTTGTTTGGTTGTTGTTTTTGTAGTTGCTTTTTGTTGTTTGGGTTGTTTGCCAAATGTTGGATGTTTCTGCGCAGATTTGGGACATGATGAACTCAAAACAAAAACATCCTACCCTCACCATGGTTGGAATTGTGTGTTTTGATGGCTTGTTGTTTCTTGCATGGTTGTTCTTGTTCTTGTTGTTGTGCAACACGTGGGGGATATTGGACAACATCCCCAAAGAACTATAAAACTAAAGCCAACTTGTTGAATGTTTTTTTTTTGTGGAGGGTAGGGCCATAAGCCAGAACTGCTTGTTTCTTACAGCTTCTTTTGGGGTGGGAGGGGGCACGCCGCAGCTAAAACCTGACCAACTATAGTTGATTTTTTAGGGGGGCTTCGTTCATTGGCGAGTCCATGAGATCTCTTACTCTCGCCTTTGTCTCGCCATCTCTTAGTCTTTGATGTTAGGCGAGACAGAGAAGAGACAGGACAGAGTGACCAAAGGGAATGATGGAGTGGCTCGCCCAATTCTTTACTCTTTTCCGTCCCTTTTGGGTTTCTTGTCTAGGACGGATGATGAGGAGGGAAGAATTGAAGCGAATCCCATTCTTTTATCTGTCTCTCGTCCCGCATTATCCCTTTCTTTCGCGAGACTTAGAGAGAGACACGATGCCAGGCTTTTCTATCTCTTACTTGCCTGGCATGGACGAACGAAGCGAGGAAGATATCTGTCCCGGCTCCAGAGGTCCCTAGAAATGCCGGGCAAACCTGAAGCAAGGGAGACTCAGCGGCCACTTAATATTCCTGCATTTGGCCGCTATCACAATCCCTTTATTCATCCCGCTGCATCTGTAAAACCCTTAACTCGCAGCGGCCACAAGAGTCTCCGATCTTGCGAGTGTCGGCGGGTCAAGTCGGAAGTTCCTCTTGTAACTCGTGCGTGCCAAAATTATCTGTATCAAATCCATTGCTCCTGCAAGCCCCAGCAAATGTTTTGATGTCCAACGCAACCCCAGAGAGCCCCCCACGCCTCATGGGGTCCATCCATCGAGTCAGCAAGGACCAAAGACGAAGCGCGAGGCACAGTGATGTGAAGCCGAGGGGACAAATTCCAGTTCTATGACACTAGCGAATTAGCCAAAGAAAGCTCGAACTTTGATTTACAACCAAAATGTGAAAAGAAATGAAAGGGAAAAGAGAGGGAAATGCAGAGAAATGAAGCGAGATGAAGGGGAAATGAAAGGGAAACAAAGGGGAAATGAATGGGACATGCGTGGGAAACTACTGGGAAACAAAGGGGAGATGAAGGGAACATGAAAGGAACATGAAAGGGAAATGAAGGGAGAGGACATGAAAGGGAAGTGAAGGGGACTGAAACGGGGAAATGAAGGGAACTGAAGAGAAAAAAGAGGACATGGCGGGGGACATGTGACGGGAAAAATTCATGGGAGATGCAACGTCGGCGGACTGAGCCTCTGGGCTCTAAAGTTTAAAGCCCATGAACTCAGGAAGTGAGACTCGCAATTGCCTTTGTGTGTGTGTGTTTGTGTCTGTGAAACGCTGCTTGTCTTGTTCGGTTGCTTTCGAACTTCAAAGCCAATTCCCAGTTGGAATTATTTTTCCTCAGCGATCTCCATTGTAAAAATGTCATGTGTTGCTTAGCGCTGTGACGTGCGGCACGACTTCTTTCGTGTCGCCCCCCAGCAAAAACGGTGGCCATCCGCGTGCACGATTTTCTTCGAGCGCCCTGCCAGCCATAAAGCCCGTCCAGCAAAGTCTCCAAGGAAGACCACTCTTCCCGCAGCTCCTGGCGCCAAAAAAAGGGAACCCTGGTCGATTCAGCGAACGGCGCACGGATGACCCTTGGACCATGAAGCAAGTTGACCAATTCTGCTCGTGAAAGCGATGTACATTTCTGGACATCCATCCCCCCCTGATTTTACTACCCCGCCGCCCCCCCCCCCTCCCTGATTTTACTACCCCCCCCTCCCCCCCGGGTGCCCCCCGCCCCCAGCCCCAGCCCAGCCCCCCCAGCCCCCCGATGTCTGAAATGAGCTGTATTTCTGGGGGAAGGCGCGAGAAAGACCACGAGAGCATTACACCCAAGTGGGACATGTCACACAAACACACACACAAACACAAACACACACACAAACACAAACACAAACACCAACACCAACACCAACACCAACACCAACACCA